TATATAGATGAAGTCAAGGGATGGTGAACTGGCTCAAAGCCATCCAATGAGCTTTTCAGCTGAATGGGAGATTTGCAGCCACTTCTCCCTGGTGTGACTCAAACACTCTGCAAGCAACATCACAATGGCTCTGCACAGCATTCACAAGCATAGCAGCATGTCTGAAATGGCAATTTGCCCTTATACCATAATGTTCTTTTCTTCCTTCCATGAAAGAAACTCTTCAAGTAGACATCGTTCTATGATCATTTGCTATTAAAGGTAAGGTAAAGGTACCCCTGCCCGTACGGGCCAGTCTTGACAGACTCTAGGGTTGTGCGCTCATCTCACTCTATAGGCCGGGAGCCAGCGCTGTCCGCAGACACTTCCGGGTCACGTGGCCAGCGTGACAAGCTGCATCTGGCGAGCCAGCGCAGCACACGGAACGCCGTTTACCTTCCCGCTAGTAAGCGGTCCCTATTTATCTACTTGCACCCGAGGGTGCTTTCGAACTGCTAGGTTGGCAGGCGCTGGGACCGAGCGACGGGAGCGCACCCTGCCGCGGGGATTCGAACTGCCGACCTTTCGATCGGCAAGTCCTAGGTGCTGAGGCTTTAACCCACAGCGCCACCCGCGTCCCTTAAAATTTTTTTTGCTATTGCTCCCCATTAAAAGCTCCTGCAAAATATCCCACTCCTGTAAACTGTCCCTTTCCTGATCTCACTTACTGTTTACAGTCATACAACTTCACCCTTAACTGTCTGCAATGGGTCTCTTAGGGTTGTATTCTGTCCCTAAGCCAAGCTATTCAACCTTTACATGAAGCTGCTGGGAGAGGTAGTTGGGTTTTTTGCAGTTAGATGCCACCCAATTACCCTGGCACTCATACTGACAGTATTTAGATACCCATTCGAGAGATGGGGTGTGTTTTTTTTTTGGAAGTTGCTGCAGAATCTTGCCTGATATATTGTGTCCTTGAGTGACTTTTCAGGATTTAGTTGTACTGATATTCTTTTATTGCAACTTGTTGGTACCTGCCCCAAAGTCTTTGAATTAGGGATGGGATATAAATAGTCAAATAAATATTTGAGTGCAGATTTGTGCATCTGGCACTCAGGCCTTTCACTTGAATGTTGATTTCCTTTCCCCACCTCCTGCATGTAGCCTCTGTACTTTGCTCCAACTTCCATAATTTTTATTTCATTCATGGAAGTTGAGGAATTCCCTTTCTTGATGCAGAACACACACCTAGCCTTGTTTTACAATGCCATCCTATGAGCATGTTTACTCAGAAGTAAGCCTCCTTTGTGTTTGTTTGTTTGTTTGTTTGTTTGTTTGTTTGTTTGTTTGATTGATTTAAAACATTTCCACCCTGCTCTTTAGTCAAAAAGGCTTCCAGTGTAGCTTACAAGATGAGCAAAAAGACGCTCCTTGTCTGCAGGCTTATGATCTACAGTAGAAGACACACAGCAGGGAAAATAGGAGGGAAGGGAGAAAGCAAACTCAGGCACCAGATTGTAAAGTTTTAGTTCAGTGGAAACTGAGAACCAAGTAAATATATATAGGATCAACGCCTTTAAACGAAGAGCAAATATAATAGCTATGTCTGCCTCCTATTAAGGTTATTCCTCCCCCTTCCTTTTTTCCATTCATTACCTGCAGACAGGATATAACACCTTTGTCATTTGGTGAGGCTATTGCACAAAGTGGGCTTGGGAAATGCCTTGATGGATTTGCAGGAAAGGATTGATCTCCACTTAAAGGCAGGTGGCAAAAAGAGTGAATCTGACTCAAGGCAGTGCTGGATGATGCATTATTCATGCCGCCATCTTTGACACAATGTGAGAGGCATTATCATATACATAATGTATTTTCCCTATTGCTGAGAAACGTACTGTTTTGTTTGAATGTCCTAAGGGGTAATACTGACGGCTGGCTAGGCTCCCTCCCTTGCATGACTCATTCTTATTTCTGTAAAATGAATTATAAGTGGAAATTGAGATAGCAGAGAAATGAAATTGGACTACTAATAGTTTGCTTGTGGTGGTCTCTTCATTGTCCAGATCTATGTAGGCTAGGTTTGTCAATGAAAAACTTCTCAAGAGAAGTCTTGCTATACATTTCTGGAGTTTAGTCATGGCAAGTCTCTGGCATGTGGCATCTGGGAGCAATATTTTTTTATTACTGGCATGTGTCCACCAGTGTCCAGATGGCTTTGATTAATCATCTATGAGCGCAGACATGCACAAACAAACAAACAAACGGCACTTTCATTCTTCATATATAACAAAGCTGAGGCTTGAAGGAGAGAAAACAAAGTTACGCGGGGGGGGGGGGGGACAAGAAAACACCAACTCTTTCATAGCTTCCAACAATGCTTTCCCCTGTATGCATAAAACTACATGTCCCCTATCAGAAAGATGCTTCAGAATACTTTCCCATTTTCCTCCAATTCTTTCTCCATATCTTCTATGGCTGACAATGCTGAATATTCCCATGCCAAAATCTGGAAGCATGTTTTGGTGCAGTTTTTCTTGTGTCAACACCCAGAGTTGCGCTTCTTGGAAGAACGATGGGATGTGGATGTAATAAATAAGTAAATGAATATTATATCTCTATCTTGATTCTTGAGAACCAGCAGAATGTAGCTTTATGGGTTTACTTCTCATTAACAGAGGGGGTGTTTTATGAAAAAGAAAAATTGTGGAAGCCCAATGCATGCAGTCTTAGATCACTGGTATATTATGTTATGTTATGTTATGTTATGTTATGTTATGTTATGTTATGTTATGTTATATTAATTATTATACATCAGCAGGTATTGTACATGGTGATATCCATGTATTCTCTCATTATATTCCATTCCTTTGCAAAAGGCTTAATTAAAGAGTTCCATATTAATCTTTTTGTAGGAGTCCACCCCTCCACCCACTCACCAGCCAGGCATGCTGCTTAGCGAATGATAGGAGAAGCCAATTTCCTTAGTGGAAAATCTCATTATACAGTTAACATGTTTCTCAGCTTCATAATACCCTCTTAACATTGACTTTCTTGTCATTGTAATTGTGTGTGCCGGTATGAACAGGCAGGAAAAGAAATCCATTTTACGTTCGTCTTTATTGAGTATAACAAATTCGCATTCACATGTTCTCCAGGCCAGAAGCTTTCAAGCATTAAACAATGGGGGATTATTAGGAATTGAGTTTCCTGCATTCTGTGCTCATCGGGATGCACCTAGAATGCACATCATTGTATATCTTATGGTCAGTTTCTTAACAGAGGTTAAGCCTTCCTGCATATGTTGAAGATTCGGGGCCTGGCTTTTTGAGGAAAGCATCTGTAATGTTTGTAAGGGATCCATTCATTGGTCCAAGCCAGTGTTTCAGAAAGCCATGGTTTAATAGCAGGTCAGTCTATCCCAGGACTTAACACTAGACTGAAAGGACAAGGAGGATTCTAGCAGCACAAACAACACCCTGCTCATGGTTGTAGAGAAGACAAGAACCTGAACATTAAACTCTACACCTGCAAAGCTTATTTTATATCCATTGTCTTATTCCAAGGAGCCCCAGGCCTTCTCATTATTATAATATCATCCATTCTATTCCAAGTCTAAAATTAATATTCCCATGAACCTGGAAAAGCACATTTCTCATTGTGGTTCTGGGGAGCAACCCAGTTTTTCATACAGAATCATAGACTCATAGAATCTTAAAGTTGGAAGGGACCCGACCCCCTGCAGTGCAGGAATTTCAACTTGATCATACGTGAGAGATGGCCATCCAACCTCTGCTTAAAAACCTCCCAGGAAGGAGAGCCCACCACCTCTCGTAAGAGTCCATTTCACTGCCGAACAGCTCTTACTGTCAGAAGTTTTTCTGAATGATATAAGGAGATGTAGCAAACTAAGAAAATGAAATAGGATGTCAATGGAAGATAAGTCGGGAAGTCTGTGTAAGACTGAGGTATGACTTGTATAGATGTAATATGGAAAATGGAAAATGAATAAAGGGAAAAAAGAAAGTTTTTTCTGAATGTTTAGTCAGAATCTCCTTTGTTTTGGTTTAATTGCATCATCTCTATGGAGGAAACAAGATACAGTGGTACCTCGGGTTACCGATGCTTCAGGTTACAGACTCTGCTAACCCAGAAATAGTACCTCGGGTTAAGAACTTTGCTTCAAGATGAGAACAGAAATGGCGCCGTGGTGGAAGCAGGAGGCCCCATTAGCTAAAGTGGTACCTCAGGTTAAGAACAGTTTCAGGTTAAGAATGGACCTCTGGAACGAATTAAGTTCTTAACCAGAGGTACCATTGTAACAGGAAGCATATGTATAAAAATGTCAGCATGCTTAGCAAGTCAAGGGGCAGCTTGTCCTTTAAATACCACTGAGAGTCATGCTTTCTCTCTAAAGTTTGTCACAGCCTGGTATTTCCCAGTGATGGGCACTGAATATCAGTTGATGGGCAGCAGATGACCTCATCCTATTCGAATTGTCAAGCACCTGGGATGCATTTTGAGGGCAGACGAGGCTGTCAGCAATTTCTCCAGCCTGAGCGACAGTGTGTGGGTGAAGTGTTGTAACCGTGTGGATTTGGCTACTGAAGAGCTAGTTTTGCATTTCAGGATGTTAGACTGATGCTGCTTTTTAACAAGCAATGCCTGCCTGCTTGCTTGTTTCTGTGCCCCTATCATCCCTGCATTACTTGAGCAGTGGTACATTAAGAGATTGTGACATCCTAAATCTCCACCACTTGCCCCTCTTTTTCCTCCACAAAGGAGGGAAGCAAAGGTGCTTGATCAGACTATCTAATCCTGCATCCTGATTCCAAGAGTAGCCAGCCAGATGGCTTTGGGAAGCCCATAAGCAGGGCCAAACATTGTTTAGGAAAAGGGGAATGTTCCAACCAATACCATTTCAGACACTGAGTGCAATTGAAAGCAGACACTGAGTGCAATTGAGTTATTCTGTGCAAATTTTGTAACATGTGCTTTGTTTTCTTTTGCTTTGCTTTTTCAAGGAAGAACACAGGAGTCTAGAGATTTCAGCTGGGGCATGCAATTAAACAGCACAGAAGGAAGCCGCATCTCTCTGACCTATTAATGGATCATCATGGCTGGATATAATCTGACATTCTGAATGGCCTTTCCCGGCATCCTTTATGTTGCTATGAATTGAAGAGTGTTCCCTCTATTAAAAAAAAAAACCCTGAAGTGTAATTAGTGGCCATGAGAAAGGAATCCGGTCACATGCTGGTGTTTTGCTGACAGCTTGTGCAGCAGAGGGATTTTCTTCCCATCAGAAGGCAAGGTAAATAGCAGCTTGCTTAGAAAGAAGAAAGCCTTTCAGTGTGGTCCATGTGGAATTGCAACTCATAAAGTAAAAACTCTATTTTCATTCCTGAAATTCTCATAAACTTGAAGACCACTGGAGGTCATCCCACCATTTTCCAGTTCTTTGTGTCTTTCTTACCGTGCTTCTGCAAGAATGGTCTTGATGAAACTTTATTGGATAAAGCTAGCAATTGCAAACATGAGTGTAATGGATGTTTTGATGTTCCTGAGCAATGAAAATGGCATGATGATTGTCCTTCAAAAAGTGAAGGAGACATTCACCTTGGCAGAATTCCCTGGGAAGAGGAAATGACTACTAAACCACCCAGGAATTGTAGCTCTGTGAGGAGCATAAAGGTCATTTTAACAACTCACAGCACCCTTAACAAACTACAGTTCCCAGGATTCTTGGGGAGATGTCATGACGGTTTAAAGTGGTATGATACTGCTTTAAATGTATAGTGCAGATGCGTCCTAACTAACAGTCCTTGCTTCTGGAAAAGTATTTTGTCTTAAATACTCATACTCTCTGTCCTGCATATGTATCACAGAGAGAGACAAACAGATATGCTTAGTTTCACAAATGCTCCTTTGTCTTTGGGTATGCCTGTTATAGTGAAAGTGGCTTATGGGCTGTATCATCAGAGACAGTACTGTAAAGGCACAATTTCGCCTATAAACAACTCAGTTTGAATTGTTATCACAACTGATTAGTATGCACATTTGTTCAATAAATATAGGCTTGATTTGAGTTAGTTATTTTAAACAGCTTTTCCCCACTGGTGAATTAAATACTTTTAATCAATGATTTAAATTGCCTTGATTTAAATCAATGGTTTAAATCTAGCCTGTCATAAGCTGATGAGAAATCAATAATGTGCATGTATTTTTGAAAAAAATCACAGCTAATGCACCAACCAATATTGCAGTAATTCACATAACTCGTACGTTATCATAAGGCTTGATATGTGATTTGGGAGAATGTGGGTGTGCAGAGAAGCAAGCCTGTATCTCCTACTCTTTATGACCAGGTGGTCAGATATTTTATGGAGTCACTCCCAGAGGCTTTGAATGGCTGGCCAGTGGTGAGGTGATGAGATGTCATCTTGCTGGGGTGGGAAAGGGGATAATGATTTGGGGTTGTCTTGAAGCATTCGCACAGACATTCTGCTGCATCCCCAAACTCATTCCGCAGTTCATTTTTCTATTCATTTTCCATACGAGTTAGTGTTGGACAAGGACCTGGGAGAACAGGATTCAAATTCCCACTCAGCCATGAAGCCCAGTGGGTGACCTTGGGCCAGTCACTATCTCTCAGAGTAAATTACCTCACAGGATTATTGTGAGAATCAAATGGAGAGGCAGATAAGTGTGTTGAGCTCTTTGGAGGGAAGGTTGATGATGACAATATATTTTTAAAGGAATAGTAGTAGTAGTAGTAGTAGTAGTAGTAGTAGTAATAATAATAATAATAATAATAATAATAATAATAATAATAATAATAATAATTTATACCCCACCCATCTGGCTGGGTTCCCCCAGCCACTCTGGGCAGCTCCCAACAGAATTAATAATAACAAAAAGCGATAAAACATCAAACATTAAAAACTTCCCTAAACAGGGCTGCCTTCAGAGGTCTTCTAAAAGACAGATAGTTGTTTATTTCCTTGACATCTGATGGGAGGGTGTTCTACAGGGTGGGTGCCACTACGGAGAAGGCCCTCTGCCTGGTTCCCTGTAGCTTCACTTCTCATAATGAGGGAACCGCCAGAAGGCCCTTGGCGCTGGACCTCAGTGTCTGGGCTGAACGATGGGGGTGGAGTCGCTCCTTCAGGTATACTGGGCTTTTAGGGCTTTAATGGTCAGCACCAACACTTTGAATTGTGCTCGGAAATGGGCGGATAAGCTTTCCCACTCCACCAATTAAGAAACATACCAGAATAGGGATGAAGAGGGCAGCTTGCACTTCACCAAATAACTGCAATGGCTCTTTAGAGTATCTCATATGGTACTTCAAAAAGTCTAATGTATGGTTGGACCTTCTATGTGGTGCCACCATGTTTTCTAAAACACACAAAAGCTGAAATTGCTGACCTTTCATTGGCAGCTGAAGCTATTCCTCCCAGTCTTTGGGGAAGGGGCTGAGGTTTTGAACCAGCATGTATTTTATCACCGACTTGATATGTAATTGATGCTCTGTTTTTATTGAACTAGTTTTTGAATTTTGTAAGGTTTTATGTGATGTAGCTCCACCCTAGGATTAAATGATGATGAGTGGCTAAGGAAGAATCTGCAAAGTTGCTCTAGGACAGCAGTTCTCAACCTGTGGGTCCCCAGATGTTGTTGGACTACAACTCCCATCATCCCTGAGCTCTGGCCTTGCTAGCTAGGGGTGATGGGAGTTGTAGTCCAACAACATCTGGGGACCCACAGGTTGAGAAAGGCTGCTCTAGGAGAAGATGTATTGCTACCAATAAGGAAGTAAATAGAAGATGCACAATCACTTAAAAGGGGCTTCTTTCTTATGTGCTTTGGTCCCTCTCCAGCTGAAACACCTTGTATTTTCTGCAGACTAATGATGGGACTCCCAACTGTTGATCTTTCTCTTTATTTTGCAGATGAATAAGAAAATGTCGTGGAGCAGAATCAAGGAATAGGCGAGAGCAGGAGGTCCTCTCTGCTTGGGATTCTGCCCCTCTTGCCACGCCGTCTCACGATGTCAAAGAAGGGTGCCAGCTTTCGAGCTAAAGGAGAAAGACCGGATGCCTTAGCTGCTTTGCAAGCTGCTAATGAAGAGCTCAGGGCAAAACTAACAGATATTCAAATAGAACTCCAGCAAGAAAAGAGTAAGGTGTGCATCTTTTTTCCCCCACCACTGCTAATCAAAACAAAAGCCATCCTGTTTCCTAAACACACCCACTTACAATGTGATGGCAAATCAGGAGGCAAAGCCATCCCATAGCTCTTTTCCTGTGCCAGGAAAAAACACACCACACCATGCAATTTGGTACACTTCATCACAGTACAGATGTGTGTTTTAATAAGTAAATGCACTTCTGAAAGATAGCATGTGTATTAATAGATTAGGTCCTTCTTTGCAATGGAACATAAGCCTTGGATCTGTAAATTGAGGAGTTGATCATGAAAAAAGAAGATGCTGCAAACATTAAACAAGGGTCCTCCTCTTAATATACTCTTGTGGAATGAAGCCTGAAGGTTGTTTTAGATCTTGTCTTCATACGAATGCGGGTTTTGATGCATTATTTAGAGACTTCTCTAATTGGTCCCCTATGGAGGCAAAAGCAGCTGTATTGTCAGCATGTACCATACACTAAGAAGCAAAACTGCCAAGAAGGGGTGGGGGACAATGGCATAAATCCATATGCAGTACACATTAAACAAGCTGATCTGGCAATTTCTTTTGAGCACAATCTAGCTTTTTTATGCGAAAATTAAATTAATCTTTGGTTACTGTGTGGGTGACAGCTGGAGCCTGCATTGGCTTTTAGGGTAATCTACCAAATCTGAAGACAAATTATATTTTGTCTACACTTCGCTTTGCTTGGAAACAGGGTTGCAGGCAATTAAGTACTACTCAGGGTGAACCTGCTGAATTTTATGTTGACGCTACTGGAGAACAGTACTGATGATGAACAGATGTCACAGGCAATGTTACATAAATGGCTCTTAATGTACTTAAATTCAGATACCTTGATTATTTAAATGTTAAATTATAAATTGAATTACATAAATGTAGAATAGACAGAAATATATGGCTGTGAAAGTTTATGCTTACTAGTAGCTGTAAGTAAATATCTCAAGTTATTCTAACGTAATCCAAATAAAACAATATAAAAATAGATAGGTTTGGGCATGGAGTTCTGTTCGTGGAATGGGACACCCCTGTCCTCTCCTTGTGTACCATCAAATTCTTCTCTGTGCACCCTACAAATATTCTCTGAAGGGCCCCTCAATCCTCTGGAGCAGATTTTGATGATGAGGGGGTCTTCATGGGAGAGGCGTGGAGGGGAAAATTGCATGGTGCAACTGGTTGCGCTAGCAGAACAAAAGTGTTGAATATATATAAGGTAATATCAAGGTAATATCAAGGTAATATAGGTAATAAGGTAATACAAGGTAATATAGGTAATAAGGTAATATAAGGTAATATCAAAATAAATACTTTTCTATATGGGTCTCCCACTGATATGAATGAACCCAAGCTAGTCATGTTCATTAATTTCAAAGGATCTACTCAGAGTAGGGCTAATGATGGCTACAACCCTTGGGTTTCTTTAAATTTATGTATTTAATTTTGGCTGGAATAAGTGAGGCCATATTTAGCCATGGCACATTTGCAGTAGCACAAATGGATGTCTTCATCTGTGCCAGCTGCAACAAAACATGTCTCTCCTGTATTGGTCTGTACAGCCACAGCAGTCGCTGTAACTCTCCAACAGTTTGACTTCAACTCCAGAGGGACACTCCTCCATTGTCTCCTGAGGCAGCTGGATGCCAGCTATTGAGCCAATATTGAGCCAACTGCACTGGCTATCAGGCCTTAAGGACCACGTATTTCCACATTATCCTATCTAGGCACTCAGGTACACACATACACACACATTTCCACTGTTTCTTTCTTCTGTGTAAGTCCACACCATTTTTAAAAGCTTCATTCCAGGTATGATGGTTATAACCCACAAATGCAAGCCAGTCCAGACTTTAGTATTGATTTTATTTGATGTTACCAATCCATCCCAGGCAACACTGCAAACTAAGCACTGCAAACTAAGCAGTCGGTAATGAAATATAAGCAGTATGCTAATGTTAGACGTGGCCAGCATGTTGCTAATATCAGCTGCAGACAAGCAATTACAACCAAGGGTTCTGAATGGATGGCATCTCTTTGTAATTCATTTCTAATTAGGAGATTTAGTGTTACTCCAAAATTCTTGTGTAAATCACACATCGGAAAACAAGCCCGGAAGCATTGCATTATTGAATCGCTTGCACAGCAGCAGCTTCATTCCTGGGAAGACATCATTAAAAGAAGGCCATTTGTATATTGTTCAAAAGTGTATGTTTGCGTACTGTCCAGGCAGGACATTTTTATTTGTTCTTTACTTCCAACGCTGCATAACTAACATTTTAAAAACCACTGAGCAAGCACAAAGCTGTTTTAGAATCATAGAGGGAATACCTAGGGTAGTCTGGTCCAACCCTGTGCAATGCAGGAATCTCAAAACACAGTCTCCCATCCAGGTTGAAATCATATCGGATCCTGCTTAGCTTTGCAAAGGGGTTGAAAGATTTTATTGCTATACCACTACTCTGAAAATGGTTTGGGGATTTTTTAATTTAATTTGGTAGCTAAGAAAATTGTAACATGTTAATTTTAAGGGGCTTCCTGGTGGGTATTAAATCATTTACAGATGGTGACTCTTTAGAAGCAGTTTGCTTGGGGGGTGGGGGGTGGAGCCACGGCACTAGCTTCCTAGCAGGATCAAAGGGGCGGGGAGGTCAATGTGGTGCAATTGTACTAGCAGAAGTACTGGATTGGCTTTGCGAGTGTGTTTCCACCATGCCAGGCTCCCTGCCGCCGTCTTGCCCTCCCAGTGAGCCACCTTCTGGGAAGCTAGTTTAGCTGCTGTACCCCACCCAGCAAGCTGCTGTTGTGTTTCCTGTGGATGGGTGCTCCTCATACATGCAGCTTTTTTTTTTTTTTGTATCATCCATACAACATCATTGGCATCAAAATGCCAGGCCATACCCCCCTACACACACTTAATCCAGATTTAACAGGGAGGACAGAGGATTCAGTCAGTAAAAAAGAAAAGAAAACCTGCTATCAATTGTGATACCTCAATGACCCTTTACAATATTAAGTCCCCATTTAGTAAAAACTCCTTAGTAACTGGGGGTGTCTCCAGACTCCCCCTATTTTGTGGGAGGGATTTAGGCTTGTGCAATTAAAGTGGAATAAAACACTTTGTTGCCCTAGTTCAATCAATCCACTCTTTTGTTTAATAACAAAAAAACCAACCCCGCCAACCTTTTGAAGTTAGGAAAGTGATGGAGAAACATGCCGAAAAATGTGGGATGAATGAATAATGTGGATTAATGAATGATTAACAGGAAGACATGTAAGAACCCTGTAAGCAAATCAGGATGAATGCTCAGTGCAACTGGACAGAGTCTAACCACCGAGTAAGCTTTGTGCAACCCAGTTAGGATGAATGCTGAATGAAGGAGCCCTGGAAGTAACTGGAACAATGTCTGTTGGATCAGTTGTGTAATAATAGCAGAGTATCTAAGAGCCAAGTAACATGGCCACTGTTAAGTAATGGGGCACTGAAGTGGAAAATGGGACGAGCTCATTGGCAGTCTTTGCTTTTCAAAACTCTGCTAAACTCACAAGTGTCTTACTTTTGCCAGCGGGCGATGCTTTTAGCTGGAATTGTTGCCTTGAAGAACTCAAAAAAAGCATTCAGTGCAAAAGTTAAAAGACCAGTGCAAAACTTGTGCTTACGTGAAACCTGAAATGAGCTGAGTCTCTGACTTTTGCGTTAGAAATTGGCAGGAGGTTGGTTCAGAGAGACTCTAGTTGTTTTGCTTTCACTATAAAGGGTAGGCAGGCAGGCAAGAAGATCAGTGAATTATTTTAAAACTTTTGAGAAGGAGAGCTAATCCAGCCATACCAAAACTACTTTTGTCAGCTAATTTAAATGGGTGTGTGCGTTGGTTGGTTTGAATTATTGTCAGGCCTATCTGTGTCGACACTCCTGTGTATGCATTAGCACGTTACCAAAAAGTGCAAAAATACAATGCATGCAACCAACTTTTAGACATGGTAATTGTGTATCATCAAGGAGAAGCATGCAGACGGCTGTTGAGAAACTTTGGTATTGTGAATATTCCTGTCCTTATTAAAGTTTATTAGTGCAATAAAGGCCCCCCCCTTTAATTCCCCTTCGTCCATGCAGTGTTCTCTTCCAACTACTGTTGTCCCACACTGTCTGCTCACTAAATCCAGGGATTCCTTATGCCTTGGAAATCTGAAAAGGAGAGCTACATTAATTGCATATTGGGATCTCAAGATTTTTAGAAGGGGGGCAGTAGTTGGAGGTGAATGCCACATGGACGAGAGGAAATTAAAGAAGGCACAAAGAATCCATATTAAGCCAAGGTATGGACGGGCCCTAATTTTAATGTGTAAGTCACTGTAGAAGAGAAAGGGAGGTATTTTCCTTCCCTCCCTTTGTCTACATCTTCCCAGTACACCCAGTGTGCCCGGTGTCCGATGGGAAATGAGCCCAGGATTCAGTAGGAGATGGAGTTTTTCAGAGGGGTGGAGAAACTTGTAATGGGAGGACTCCATCTTTCCTTATCCACCCCTGACATGCTGCATTCTTAGGACTATGAGCAACTCTAACTTTCGGTGGGATTCTAACATGGGGGACAGGATTAACCCCTCCTTCCCATGCACCATGCTTCTGATCTAGCTTGTGCCCCCCACCCTGCATAGCTGATGTTGCTAATAGGGAGGAAAACCCCCAGACAAACTCACTCATTTAATCCTACACCTCTTTTTAACCCTTAATTGGTGATAATGAAAAAACACTTGCTGATTTCCTAACAGCTGTCTTAAATAGGTCCCCCAACATTTATTGCTAGGTTATAAAATCCATCTCAAACATACCGCGTGATACTTTCTTTTTCTTCTAGGTCAGCAAATTGGAGAGGGAGAAAAATCAGGAAGTGAAGCTGATCAAAGAACACGAACAGCACAAAAACACAGTGACTGTAACGGAGCTCAAGGCTAAACTTCATGAAGAAAAAATGAAGGAGCTCCAAGCTGTTCGCGAGGGACTTTTAAGACAGCATGAAGCTGAGCTTCTTAGAGTCATAAAAATCAAAGATAATGAAATTCAGAGACTTCAGGCCTTACTCAATGTTGTCCGGGATGGGACACCTGATAAGGTTAAGACGATGCTCTTCTGCGAAGCAAAGGAGGAGGCCAAGAAGGGATTTGAGGGTGAGAAAACCAAAATGCAACAGGAAATTTTGGAGCTTAAGGGGGCTAAAAAACAAGTGGAAGAAGCTTTATCTGTGGTCGTGCAAGCCGACAAAATCAAAGCAGCAGAGATACGGAGTGTGTATCACCTTCACCAAGAAGAAATTACCAGGATAAAGAGAGAGTGTGAGAGGGAAATTCGCAGATTGGTATGTGCAAATTTCAATCGTTCTGGCGGTTTTCAGCAACAAGGGGAAGGGAACGAATGTTCTTTCTGTGTTTTCGCTAATAAACAGTTCAAATTCACTGTGACGAAGCATCCTGTATTGGGGCTACTAATCCATACAGACTTTCTGATCCTTCTGAGGTTTATCTAGCACTAATGAAAATGTCTAGGAGGAGGTTGTCTCTCAAAGATATGCTGTGCTGTCAGTTAACAGGGTGCAAGGCTTTGATCCAGGCTGTCTCTTGGTCTCTTGCCATGCCATCTGTTTAAATGACCATTTTAGTTCCCCCAGGAATCAACTTCACATCAGTACTGGTTAGTGGGCAGTGGGTTGTTCTTTTTTTAAAAAAAGTTTTAAAGCTTGAAAAATAGTTATGTGCTAGAATCCAAATACCGCCTTGTCTTTCTGCTGGTAAAGGGTAAATTAGGAGGAAGGAGATGACGTTTTTTTTCCAGGTCACAACCAGCTTTGCAAATTGCTGTGCATCTCTACTTATCTACCTTTTCGTAATGCTGCATTGTTACTGAGACATAAAAGACTTCTGATGATTGTAGAAGTATAAGGTGATCTAATTGTTACTAGCAACCTTTCTCTAGGCGAAGGGGTATAGGCAAAACTTCCAATATGACAAAGTGATCACAGCCCAATGCCATGTGTAGGAGGCCAATGATTTAAACCCTTGCTTTACAGTACAATTCTAGGCATGCCTGCTTGGAAGTAACTTGCACTGAATCTGATGGAACTTAGATAAGTGTGCATAGGATTACAGCCTCTTCGACTTAAACCACTGAATATACATTTATGCCATTTCAGCAGGTTTTTGGGGCTTTTTTAAACGTATAAAGCAATTATCTTTAGCCTGCATCTAGTCATGGTTTTTTAGCCTGTTTTCATACGTAAATGTCTCCATCTGGCCTCATCATATACGATTTGAGTTGCACAGTATTTCCCAGACAGAAGTGCTTTCCATGCAGGAAAATACACAACATATAAGTTGGCCCGTACACAGTTTCATTTCCAGGATAACATATTTGTATTATAAATGGCTGTATTTTGCATATAAAGCCACTCTAGAGATGGTTTAAATTCTCACTGGATAGCTCCGACTTTGCATGATAGCTTTCAATTTTCTATTTTATTTCGACAGTTGTTTGATTCCCCCCCCCCCCAGTTGTTAGGCGGTTACCAGGCATTCAGAGAGCAAGGCCTTTGTGTAGTCTTATGTTTTTCCTGCTCCAGCACCACATCTACATGTTACTATGTGTGAATTTATGTTTAACACTCCCGTGATCACAATGAAAGCTACACTTAATGCTTTCTAACACCATTAGTGGGAAACTAGTTGCAGCAGCTAATTATTCATAGTAGATCAATTCTTGATGTATAACTTCAGCTGATTTATTATGCTCAGGGAGCTTTTTGCTGTTTTCCATGATAAGGATGACAATGACAAATGCACCTTCAGTTTCATATTAAATGATCTGCTTTTTCACAGTAATAGGACCTATTCTGAAATATGCAATATCCAGAATGAATACTTTCTTTTCCAAAGGAAAATACATAACTTTACTTGTAATAGAATGTATGCTTAATAAGTTAAGGAACATTGGGATCCTATACCAAGGAATAACTGTGACCAGCATCATATCTTTCCTTCATAGTCAAATACACTGAATGCTCTTTTTCTGTTTGGAGATATCATGCAACTTGTGTGCACACTGTTCATTGAAAACACATTCAAGCTTAATCTTTCCCTCAAAGAATCCTGCACACAGCAGTTTGTTAAAGGTTTCAGGGGATTGTAATTCTGTGAGAAGTAAACTACAGTGCCCATAATTCCTTGAGGGAAATAATGTGCTTTGAATGTACTTTAAAAGTATAACGTGGACAAAGTCTAAGTGGAAATAGTATCTATAGCATTCAAGGATGCAAAGAAACAGCTTAATTGTTCAATACGAAAATATAGTTTTATTTTACTGTAGTGTATAGTTAGTAAGATTGTAACTAGGGCGACAGAGTAGTATAATTGTTAAATATACCTGGATACGGACCTCCCTTTAGCCTTCATGGCTTGGTGACCTTGGGCAAGTCTCATTCTCCCATCCTAAGTCATCCTTACAAGGTTGCTGGGAAGGTAAAACAAGGTAACTCCCTCAAATACCACGAGAGAGAGAGAGAGAGAGAGAGAGAAGGATGAAAATTGAATAATACCTTTTGAAATGAATGGAAATATCCACATGAATGGATGGTCCAATATGTGAGCCGATAGTTCACAGAGCTCAGTCACGACAAGTGTGATTGCTGATGCTCCAACCTACAGCATATTAAGGAATTCAGCAGTTTCTAGAAGATGTGAGTTACTTCTGGATATATTAGACTGATCACACAAATGGGTGTCTTAGTGAAGTGTCCCAAGATATTTGGGGAGGCACAATTAAATGTTACATGCAAACACATATAAATGTAGCCTGTCGGTATCTCTGACCTTCACAAACACGTACTTAAATTCAAAACCAGTTTAGAGGGAGAAAGGTGTGATTTGGAGAGGGAGGTAGCAAGTGGGGAAATGATTCTTCCCCAGGCACCAATCCAGGCTCGATCACCTTTTCCCAAAGTAATTTTTCAAGCTTAAATGAACATGGGAAGAGCCTGCTGGATGGTGCCAAAGAGCCATCTAGTCTCGCGCTCTGTTCTCGCAATGGCCAACCAGATGTCCACAGGAAGACTGTAAGCAGAACCTGAGTGAAGCAGCCCTCTCCCCACTTGCAATTTCAGGCAACTGGTATTCAGAGTTGTATTGTCTCCGACAGTGGAGGCAGGACATAGCCATCATGGCTAGTAGCCATGGATAGCCTTATCCTCCATGAAAAAGCCATCAGACAACACTGTTACATGTTTGCATGCAATGTGCATTTTAGCCTTGGCTCTTGGAGTCTAATTAAGGTAAAGATACCCCTGCCCGTACGGGCCAGTCATGTCCGACTCTAGGGTTGTGCGCCCATCTCACTTAAGAGGCCGGGGGCCAGCGCTGTCCGCAGACACTTCCGGGTCACGTGCCAGCGTGACGAAGCTGCTCTGGCGAGCCAGCATCAGCGCAGCACATGGAAACACCGTTTACCTTCCCGCTATAAAGCGGTACCTATTTATCTACTTGCACTTAAGGGTGTTTTCGAACTGCTAGGTGGGCAGGAGCTGGGACCGAAAGATGGGAGCTCACCCCGCCGCGGGGATTCAAACCGCCGACCATGCGATCGGCAGGTCCTAGGCACTGAGGTTTTACCCACAGCGCCACCCACGTCCCAGCGCCACCCACGTCCTGGGTAAGCAAGTCTAATTAGAATGGACCAAATTAAGATATTGGAGGATTCCTGCAAAACCCCGCTAGCCTTTTTCATTTTTACAGTAACTATCTGACTCAAGTGAACATTTCAGCTCTTGCCATCTGTAGGACTCATGTTTGGGTCTTTTGTAGGGAACAGCAATTGGTGGAACACAAAATTCTGTTTATAGTAAGGGACTCAGTGGTTAACTTCTGCTAAATCCAAATATAGCTTTCCCCTCATATCTTACTGCCTTTCTCTATATGTGCAGTTTTTCCCAAATAATCATCCCCACCCTTCTCCTCCCAACCTCGTATAGTGTGAATATTTCCAAGCAAAACATAACATAACTTGATTTTGGATGTTTGATGCCGCCCCATACTGGCTCATATCTTGATTTCAACCCTAGCACTTTCCTACCAGGCTGTGGGTTTAAATCTTGCTTACCCAGATAAATGATAAAAACTAAGAGTTCTCATGAGAAAAGCACCACAGCTAATGTTCACCAAGGGAAATATTAACCTATTAGACAGAACAGCTGGTTGTTAATCAAGCAACAAGGTGACATTTTCATGTTAACATCCTAAGCCTTGGATGAGACCCACATTTTGAACATTGCATTGAACAGTACGTGAGAGTTATAGGAAAGAAAATAATGTTTTGACTGACAAAAAAATGCTCTAATATATTTTAGCAACATCACAGGTTAAACTCTGCCCAAAGATCTATTTGGCTTGCTGTAGTCATGTGATTGTAATGTTTTCTCTTCCTCATGTCAGCCATAGACTACCACAAATTAATAGCAGAGCTCTGCTCAACAGGAGGCAAATTAATCCCCAACAGCAAACACTTTAATGCCAGAGTATTTACTATGCTTCAAGATCATGAAGCCATATGTCTTTATACTTATAATATAACATGCTATTTTGCAGATAGATACAAAATAACAGGAGCCAGAAATCTGTTAGTTTTATTAACTGGGCATGTTTCCCATCAACCACATGATAAGATCCAGGAACTCAATATCAGTACTAAAGTGGACTAAGTACTGATTCCAGAAACAATAGCTGTGTTGATCTGCAGTAACAGAAACAGCCATGTGATCCATGGTACCTTAATGTCTAACAGATTCGACTGTGGCATGTGGTTACATGGGCAAGAACCTACCATATTGGCCCAAATATAAGCCACACATTTTTCCAAATTCCTTACGAGGGCTGTCGGGAACACAGGGCAGCCCCAACCGCTGCTCCCAAGCCTCCCCTGAACCGCCAAGAATGGGGCGAGGCTGCTGGCAAAGGGACATGGCTCCCCCTCCCCAGAGAGCAGCCCAGGAGCGTGGGGCAATGGCACCCGTCCCATCTGTGGTTCCCAAGCCTCCCCCAGGCCGCCAAATTTTAAAGGTGCAGCTTATATTTGGGTGTGGGTTATATTCGGGCCAATACGGTACTTCCATTTCATGCAGATGACAAAGGTAATCAATACTTATGAAAATTCATGCCACAATACATTTGTTTGTCTGTTTATAAGATATCTCACTTAGATCTTGTGTAAAACTCAGCAAAGAAAAGATTGGAAAAACAAAATTGTGAGCATCATTTTTTTTTATTGAAGTTTTCAACAAGCCCTTGTGCCACCCCCCAAGTATTTGTGGAATAATTA